CTGCTCAATCCCCAAATCATCTAGAAGACCCCACATCCACAATGCTTCCTTCACTCCCTCTGTCATAGCCATGTACTCGGCCTCTGTTGTAGAAAGTGCCACTGTAGCCTGCAACATCGATCGCCAACTAACTGGAGCTCCATGTATCCTGAATACATAACCAGTAGTAGATCATCGTCTATCTAGACCGCCCGCATAATCTGAGTCCACATACCCGTCGACCTGACATGTATTTCCACCAAAACACAGACCCGTATCCGCGGTACCTTTCAAGTACCTCAGGACCCATTTCACCGCTTCCCAGTGCGCCTTTCCCGGATTCGCCATGAACCTGCTGACCACACTAACCGCCTGTGAAATATCAGGGCGTGTACACACCATGGCGTACATCAAACTACCAACTGCACTAGCATAAGGAACACGCTCCATGTGTGCCTTATCTTTCGCTGTAGTGGGAGATTGTTTACCAGAGAGCCTGAAGTGTGGAGCCAATGGGGTCACCACCAACTTTGCACTTTGCATCCCGAACCTCGCGATCACCCGCTCTATGTAGCCCTTCTGACTCAAGAACAATCGCCGATTCACCCGCTCTCTTCTAATCTCCATACCCAGTATTTTCTTTGCAGCACCCATATCCTTCATCTCGAACTCTTTGCTGAGTTGAGATTTCAGCTTATCTATCTCCACCTTGTTTTTTGATGCAATAAGCATGTCATCCACATACAACAGGAGATAGATATAATCACCTCCACGAAGCTTCCGAATGTAAACACAACAATCATAGTCGCAAGGAGTCAAATCGCTTGTACCACTGCCGTGGAGATTGCTTCAATCCATATAGTGATTTCCTCAAGCGAACAACATGATTCTCCTTGTCCTCAACCTTGTATCCCTCAGGTTGATGCATATAGATCTCTTCATCCAAGTCTCCGTGCAAGAATGTCGTCTTGACATCGAGTTGTTCCAGCTCAAGATCACCATGAGCAACAATACTCAGTAGCACCCGAATAGAAGTGTGTTTCACCACCGGAGAAAATATCTCATTGTAATCCACACCCTCTCTTTGTGCAAACCCCTTAGCCACTAGCCTCGCCTTGTACCTTGTACCACAGAGCTCTGAAGGATCTTCTTTTCTTTTATACAACCACTTACAACTTATAGTTTTCTTTCCTACGGGCAATGACACCACCTCCCATGTTTGGTTCTTCCGGAGAGATTCCATCTCCTCCTCCATCGCAGCCAACCAACTCTCACTATCCTTGTCTCGAATAGCTTCCTTGAAGGAGACCGGCTCATCTTCCTCCACCGAGAGTGCGTACTTAACTGAACCTCCTCCTGCTCAAGCTCATCATCTTCCTGACTTTCCACTTGAACACGACTAGAACCTGGTTGGTCTTTAGGTTCTATCTCAATAACCTGGGACTTGGAAGTCCCAACAGTCTCAACACCACCATCCTTGGGCACTTTAACAATCATGGACTTCTCATCAAAGGTAACGTCTCTGCTGATCACGAACTTCGAATCTTCTGTACACCAAAGGCGGTAGCCTTTTACGCCCTTTGCATACCCCAAGAAAATTGCCTTCTTGGCCCTCGCGTCAAGCTTTCCCTCGTTGACGTGATAGTAGGCGGTACACCCGAAAATTCGGAGCCTCTCATAATTTGCATGCTCCCCTGACCACATCCGATAGGGTGTATCACCGTCTAATGTCGAATGTGGAGATCGATTCACAATATAGCAAGCTGTAGCAATCGACTCTGCCCACCATTCTTTGCCCAAACCAGCATATGATCGCATACTCACTGCTTTCTCCCGCAGTATTCGGTTCAGTCTCTCCGCGACCCCATTTTGCTGTGGTGTAGATCTAACTGTCCAGTGTCTAGCAATCCCTTCCTGGTCACAGAACTCCTTGAAAGCACCGTCTGTATACTCTGTATCGTTATCAGATCTCAGTGTCTTCAATTTCTTGCCCGTCCTGTTCTCAACCATCGCCTTCCACTTCTTGAATGTCTCAAATACCTCATTCTTATGCTTCAGGAAATAAACTCAAGCATATCTTGAATGATCATCTATGAATGAGACAAAATATCTGGAACCACCCTTGGAAGTTGTCGAAGCCGGACCCCAAACATCCGTGTGCACATAATCTAGTATACCTCTGCTCTTGTGATTGCTTTTCAAGAATTGGACCCTGTGCGCCTTTCCATACACACAATCCTCACAAAAATCCATGCAAGGTTTCTTCAGATTCTTCAGCAAACCCTCTTTACCAAGCAGATCCAGACCCTTCTCTGACATGTGCCCAAGCCGCCTATGCCATAACCGTGTGTGCTCACATGGGTCTCCACCACTTCCTTCAGCTCCAACTGCTGCATCTCCCGTCACCGTCGTACCCGAGAGAGTATATAGATTACCGTGACGAACACCCTTCATCACTGTTAAGGAACCGCGAACAAGCCTCTTCACTCCGTTCTCTGTTACAATCTTGCAACCCCCGGAGTCCAAAGCTCCGACTGAGATGAGATTCTTCCGCAAGCCGGGAACGTGTCGTACGTCCGTCAGGGTTCGAACCACTCCATCATGCATCTTGATTTTGATATCACCTAGCCCCACCGTTTTACAAGCATGGTTGTTCCCCATCAATACGGTTCCACCATCAATGCTCCTGTAGGTAGTAAACCACTTCCTGTTTGGACACATGTGGTGAGAGCAACCAGAATCAAGAATCCACTTCCTGGAGGTATCCTCGCCATCCGTGACGACATAACATTCCTTATCGCTCCCATCCTCTGAAGCGTAGCTCGCCTCTTCCTTGCCTTCTCGTCTTTCAGTCTTGTTGTTGTTCTTTTTCCCACCTACTCTCTTGTTAGGACAATCAACCTTGAAATGCCCAACTTCATCGCATTTGAAACACGCTCGTCCCGCAAGAGGTCTCGATTTAGATCTAGACTTTCCTCCCTTGCCTTTTCCTCGCTCATTGCCTCTTCCTCTGGCAAACAGTCCATGCGCTTGTTCTTTGTTACCACCAGTGGCCATATCACTAGTTGTAATTTTTCGAAGATCATCCGCTAGAAGCGCCGTTCTAGTTTCATCCATCGATAAAGTATCACCCACAAGCATCAGTGTTTGTACCAGGTTCTCATAAGACTTCGGTAGAGATAGAAGTAGTAGAAGCGCCTGATCATCGTCTTCCATTATCACCTCAATGTCTTTCAAGTCTGATAAGATCCTATCAAACATGTTGATGTACTCCCGGATTGACGAGCCCTCCTCCATCTTGCAAGTATACAGTTTGGATTTTAAATAGATCCGGTTCGTTAGACTCTTCGTCATGAAGGTGCTTTCCAAATTTTAAATAGATCCGGTTCGTTAGACTCTTCGTCATGAAGGTGCTTTCTAACTTCAACCACACACCCGCAGCCGTTTCCTCCCCGTCCACCAAGAAAGCTACATCCCTTTCAAGGCAAAGGATAATCGACGCCCGTGCTTCCAGATCCAGCTCCTCCCAATCCTCATCAGACATATTTTTATGCTTCTCTCTTCCAGCCAAAGCCTTGTGCAACTTTTGCGAAATCAGCGAATTTTTCATCTGCATCCTCCAATAGGAAAAATTATTTTTTCCATTAAAATTTTCAATCTCGTACTTTCCAATTTTATTTATTTTACTTGTAGACACCATTTTCCGCTTGTATTATGTAAATCCGCTTCTCTCAGGAATTTTTAACAATTTCTTTGTGTTTTACCACACAATATTCAACCACCACCTCAGATCAGAAATTTTACTACCTCCAGTCTGAATAAGGGCTCTGATACCAATTGTTGGGACGGAGTCACGCCCACCGCCGCGGAAGCGATATCACCTGAGAGAGAGCCCTGGCTTTCGTTATCACAAAAGCCGCCGCGGAAGCGATATCACCTGAGAGAGAGCCCTGGCTTTCGTTATCACAAAAGCACAAGTCAACCTGATCTATATTCTTGTTTCTCAAAGGAAACGAGAATAGATAATGAAATTCTTATTTCTCAAAGGAAACAAGAATTGAAAGTGATATATTTCATCAAAGTGAAATATACACTCTTCCTCTCATCAGTTCAAGGACTGAAATATCGAGGGAACCTACAAGCTATGGCAACGAGATATATAGAGAGAGAGAGAGAGAGAAGAAGATGAAAATACAATGGGATGTTGAGCCTGACGCATTCACTTACAACATGGCGCTCTATGCAAACAAGGGCCGATGTATAATGCTATCTAAGATTTACTTTTTGCAATACCTATACTTGTATTATCTTTGGTCATTCTACTCGAGGACAATGGAAAGAAGTTATGAGCACTACAACAAAAGCTGTATGTGTCAACATTTAATTTATGACACATATAAAAGTGTCGTTTTATTTGTAAAAGATTAAACAATAGTAACACAAATAAAAAGTATAGCCTGACGGTGCTCGACACAACTGTCAACATCGGCCTCCTCTACTTCCTCTTACTCGACACAATCCCTTTGAGTTCCTACAACAGTCTTTTACCGCACTCCGCTTAAAGCTAGGTTTTATGCCGACTCCGACGACGAAGGAGCAGGAGGACGAGTCATCTCCTTCGCCGATGTTTGCGCCTTGGGATTTATCGCCAGCCAGGATTATTTTTTAGCCCAGGGCAAAAAAAATTCCTGGCTACGCCACTGCACGGGAGGGGATTTCACTATGGAGGAAAAAATACCAAACTTATACAAGTTCTCTCTTTCTCTCTTTCTTTTCTTTCAAAAATCCACTTAAGATTTTTTCCACACCATTTCCTCTACACCCCACCTCTCTATTTATAGGCGAGGAAAGGGGGCTGAATCGAAAAAATCAGGCGGGAGAAGAAGTGCGCGCGCGGGAGAAAAATGAGAGCTCGAGCACGAGCTCTGATGTGACGTTGTGGGCTGGCGTGGGCAGACGAGCGGCGCGGCACCGAGGGCAGGCGTGCGCGCGCAAGAAAGCAGAAGGGGGGCGGTGCTTTCTCGTGGGCAGACCCACGTACCCACGTGGGTGGGCTCCACCCGTTCACAGTAGTGAGTAGTCTTACATGCCAACGCCATTTATGAAAACAATCAATATTTACGGGGATTTAGCATATAAATTTAAAAGTTCAAGATGGATTTTCTCTGAGACCCCAAAGTTCACGGGGGCTCAATCAAATTTACACTTTTTTTTGAAGAACTAATTGCTGGCCAATCAACAGGTTGAGGATATCCAACTCTTCATCAGCCGTTATCCCATCTATTCTGATAGACGGCCAGAAAACATACGAGGAATGGGAGGCCACTTGCTGGACGTTAACATGGAGGTTTTAAACCCCTTCTTGGGCTACTACCATGACTGCGATTTTACTGTCCGTCCAGCCACGGAGCTCGTCCAGGCAGGGGTGAGCATCAAGAAAGCCGAAACAGAAAGCTTAAACGACATCAGCTTCAGTAACGGAGTCCTCAGTCTCCCTTGCTTCAATTTCAACTCCTACACTACAACTACACTTCTCAATTACATTGCCTACGAGCAGATGCACAGAAAAAGCTACAGGGCTACTTACTATGCCTTTCTCATGGATAATATCATTGACAAAGCCAAAGATGTCACGTTGCTTAGGCAGAAAGGGATTATCACTTGCTGGTCAGGGAGCGACAACGAGATAGCTTCCTTCTTCAATTGCACCACCAAGGAGCTGCTGTACACATTTTGTACAGACGAAACTAACGTGAACGAGAAGTTGGAAGAGTACTGCAAGAAGAGATGGCATAGGTGGCGTGCCAGCTTCATGCAAACTTACCTCAGCAATCCTTGGGTCTTCATCTCGCTTATTGCAGCGTTCATCCTCTTATTTCTCACCATTCTCCAGACGTTGTACACGATCATGCCTTACTACAATCACTGAGCCAACAATAGTATAAACAACAGGAAGCATGAACAACCTATCAAGATGCCAGCAGAGCAACATGCTATATCAAAGAGTCATTACACAAGGAATCAATGAGATTTCAAATATATCAAACTTTAGCACAGTAAAATTTGTAACTTTTTTCTTTTAAAAGAAAAACCAATTTTTTTTGTTATATATATATATATATATATATTATATATATATATATATATATATATAACTAGTTTATCTTTAACTTTTCGTGGCTTATTGATTTTGGGGGTTATTCTAGAATATCAACCTAATTAGGAAGCGAAGGAGAAACAAATTTTTTACAAAATTTCAGTTTTTTGAGTTTGGGGCAAGTGAAGAACAAAATTAGAGCTTTGCTAGAAATGAGTAAAGGCGATTTATTATTCTCATTTGTACTTGCATACAATTGCGGTTTGACAACAAATTTTGTTTTTAAAATCTAGCTATAATGCCGTGAAGATATTTGATTTGTTGTAACTGTAATCTTTTTTGCAAATTGTGGAAATCAAATTGATCAAAGTAGTAGCTCATTTCAAAATCGCAACTTAATTTAAGAAAACAAGTAAGAGAAACTACAATTAAAACTGTCTTATATAATTGCAACTAAATACCCTATAGTTTCTCCTTCTTTGCATTCATATACCCTCAATTGTTTTTGGCAGCACCCACACCCTAAAGTTTTTAAATTTTGCACTGAGATTTTCCCCCTATAATTTCTCATGTGATAATCACATGCTAAACTTAGAACATTTAATTCTTAATAGTTGTCAAATTTACTGTCAAATCTATCGAAATTTTATTTTAAAATAGAATTCTGATAGGTTGAAAATAGAATTACAATAGTTTTAACATTAAATTAAAAAATTAGCATGCTAGTGTTGCATGGAAATTTTCAGGAAGAAATTCTCGCATTTGCATAATTAAGGGCATTTCTACAAATTTTAAAAATCATTGGGTGTTTAAATGCTGCGAAAAATAAGTGAGTATATACAAGTGCAAAGTAGGAGAAATTATAGGGTATTTAAGTGCAATTAAACCTAATTTAAACAAGCTTTATATTTAAGATTTTTTATATACCTAACAAATATTATTTAATTTCAAAAGGATTACAAGCGCGTGAATAATGAAAGGTGTTAGCATGTGAAAGGATCAAAACCTAAGAAAGAAAAAAGATCAAAATAATTGTCTATAATCCTTTTAAAAAAAGGGACATAGTGAAGAGCAAGTACGCGATATGTCTCATCTGTATCTTATCATGTTAGCGTGTGCAAGAACAAGAAGGAACTAAAAATGACCTAAAATGAAGTGAATAAGAAGCGCATCTCACCGGCCCCTATTTATTTATTTCTAAACCAGCAATCATTGAACTTGCTTAAAATTTCTTACTTGACATAAACGTATACGAAAGCACTTAAATAAACCTGAATGCACAAAAATATATTGCATATCTATACTACTTATAAAAGAGAATACCTATGTCAAAACTTTTAATTTCATATTTCACCCTTTTAAATTTTGACAATTCACAATTATACCATTAGTTATAATTAATCCTTAAATAATTATCCGAAACTCTTTATTAAATGCACCTCCTACTCTCCCCAAAAATATTTAGTCAAGAATATAATTATTATTATTAGTTTATAATCTAATACTACGTACAATTGCTTATGTCTATATTTAGAATTTTAGAATGTCAATGTTCACTTTTCGGGCTACCTTAATTATATCTTGGGGGGTTTGCAACCTACTCTCCTCTCTAGGAAGTTGAAATGACTGTATTTGAGAGACATCAAAGTTTAAGCAATGGGAGGAGCAGAGTTTTGTAGAGACAACCTAATAGGTAAAATTAGAGATTGGTGCACCTCATTCTTCATTGCTTTGTATCTTTTGAGCACCGGCTGCTAATGAGCCCAAAATTTCAGCTCAAGTCTATAAATTTCTTCCCAAGCAGTCACACAATTGTATAAGACAAAGTTAATTAAATATTACAATAACAAGATATAGAGTGTAGGCTTTTAAAATTCAATTTAAATCAATGCATAAACTATGAACCAAATTAACTAAGAAACAACCCTTTTTATTTTTATATAACTTCTCTTTCATCTTTTGAGTATAAATTAGATCACACATTTTCTTCCATTCACCATAATACCTACTAAGCCAACTTCATACAATTACAAAAGAAAAGCTCATCTAGAACTCCACTTGGATTAAAATAGGAAATTTAGCAAAGCACAAGATGTCGACTTCTTTCGAGGATGAAATTTGCTCAAGCACATGTTAGCATGGTATGTTTCTCTATAATTCAATAAGAATTTTAAAAATGTGTTTCAAAACTTGATTATTGTAGAAATGTGTCAATTTAGCACGATTTAAGTTGCTACAATCATTTTGATGATTAGTTTTCTTTTTGAATATATTGGGTTTCACTCGAATTTTAAAATGTATTATAAAAAATTTGAAACGAACAAATGTATCTTAAAATCTCATTAGATTAAATACTTTTAAAACTCAACCCGCTAAACACATTTCACAGTGTAATTTGAAAACACATTGTACCGAAAAAAAATCTATGATGCTACTATCATGAAGTAGACGCATGATTAGGAATGCATTAGGCTAATTGTATTATACTTTTGATGTTGCAGTGAGAAATACAAAATAAACCTTCTTATAGTGATTTCAAACAAAAAAAGTTGAATAAATACTATAATCAACATCATATTTAAATGCATCCAAATTAAATATTATGTTTTTAAAATAAAAAACCTCATTACTAAAGTGATATCTTCCTAAGCTTTGACTTTTTACCTTTTAGTTAACAACTTATTTTTATGCATGCCATTTATTTTTCATTTATTTCTCTCTATTCCTCTCCTTCCAACCATCCGACTTCTATTTTTGAGAATTGAACTACCTGGGATGACATTAAACATGGAATAGATTCCCATGGAAATGCCATCACGATGATTCGGTGCTAAGTTGTGAACTAGAGATTGGTAAAAGACATATGAACAACATAATCAGTCTCTCTTGTAATTGTCGCGGAACTTCAACCAGTGACAAATCCCTACTCGCATGATATATCTTCATCATCCAAACATGTAAATTTTATCATTAAGTTTAAAAATTTTATTTAGGAAAGCTCTTATTAATTAGCATTTCCTTAAGTAGCTTGAACCTTAGTGTAAATTGAGCAAAGATGTGTCTCGCATATCTAATATTAAAGCATCTTTTTATGTTGCTATCGTATTTACAGAATAAGTTTGTTCATGTATAGGATTATAATTTTTTTTACCCTATTAATCCATGTCGGTGTAGGCAGTAAAAATTGCCTATAGATTGCAAAGAAGTTCAAACTAACAAAAAACGCTGATATCTCTCAAACCGGAGGGAATTTGGAAAAACGGACGGCGGCAAACCAAACTTCAGTGTGTTTGGACAGCCCCGTCTCGAAAAAATACGTGATTTTTCTATATAATTCATCCAATTCTGACTTACGGTTTGAAAATTATGACCCGTTTTTCGCAGCATGTTCTGATGTCCGTCTGAACTGATCGACCTCGCCTGAACTATTGGACCAAGTCAACTGTAGGCGTCAAAAAATTACCTATAGGTCTCGAACATAGCTCTAGACGAAGAGAAACAAAGAACGTCATCATCTAAGTCAGAAGAGGTCATCCGATGCGAAGAAGAAGCAAAGGAACGCGCACAAAACAACGAAACGACGAAGCACGTGGAACAACAGGACTCGGGACTGCCTCACAAAAGGTGAGACAGTCTAAGGTGTCTTGCCCTCGAGACACCAAATGGTGTCTCGGGTACCGAGACACCAAATGGTGTCTCGGGGGGGACACCAAATGGTGCCTCGGGTGGCCGAGACACCAAATGGTGTCTTACCCCCGAGATACAAAGTGTGTCTCACACAGGGAGGGTGCCCCGATGCATTTTCTAATGGATTTCTCGGGATTCGTGCATTCTAGTGGCTTCCTAACTGCCTTGGGAGTATCCTTAAACATGGAAAAGTGGTTATTAACTGAAGATACGTTCAAATCACGAGATCTTATCCACAAACACGACGTCTGAAGCCTATAAATAACCCCTAGCATCCATATGCACGGGGAGAGGGGGGGAGATCTGATCTTTTGGCGAAGTTCTGACGAATTCTAGAGCAGAGAGCCACGAATTTTAGAGAGAGATGGGGGAGATCTTGGCGAACTTTAGCATAAAGAGGAAGATTTTGAAAGATCTGCAGGTCTTCACCCCTTCCCTTGAGATCAAACCATTGTTTTGATCTCGAGAATAGTATTAATCTCACCTTGCTGAGGTTATTTACTTCTGTTCTAAGTTTCCTTGCTAAAACAAAGAACACCGAGCCTTCTTCACGATCAATCTGGATCTGTGAATCGGTGGTCCATGGACTAACGTGTCCCCGGTACAGGCAAAGATCATACGCAAGCAGCGACCGATAAACGATCTCTGCGTGTGTTTCTAGGAGATCTCTTTTTGTTTTCATTGTGGTGAGAAGTATTATAAAAAGACTAACTTCTTTGAATCTGTGTAAACGATAAACGTTATAATGGGTTCAACAATGAAAATAATTTCCGACGCAAACACTCTGGCGATTACAGTGGGAGCTAACTGCCTCTCTGCTGAGGCTGTCGTGTCGCAACCTGTAGGCAATAAAAATTGCCTTGACACAAGAGAACTCAAATCTCGCCTGTTTGAGTTCGCCTGCAATCTCAAAGCAAGAAAAGCTTGTCTACATTCAGAAAGCCAAGCTAAGCTCGCCTGCATTCAAGAGGCCAAGTGAATGCTCGCCTGTTTGTTTGACTCGCCAGCACGAGTCAAGCTCGCCTGATTGTTCAACTCTCCCGCACGAGTCGAGTTCGCCTGTTTGTTTGACTCACCATCACGAGTCAAGCTCGCCTGCTTGCTTGACTCGCCCGCACGAGGCAAGCTCGCCTGATTTCTCGACTAGCCCGCACGAGTCGAGCTCGCCTGAAAGCTTCGCTCACCCGCACGAGTCAAGCTCGCCTGCAGGTAGTTCGCCCGCACGAACCAAGCTCGTCTACAAACTCAAGATCGCCTAATGCTTGAGGGGTCCGCTAGGCGACCCCGCCTGTTCGCTAATGTATGTTGGAAAA